CCCTCTCCTCCTAACTTTTCACACGTCTCGCATTGCGTGAATCCAGACACCTCGGATCCTAGAGGCCATGGCCTCACCCACCTGGTCTGCTCTATGCCCGGACGCTGTCCGCAACGGTGGTCACATCGCATCGTATCGCATCACGTCCGACTGGATGTCAACGTCCTACGGCCCGATCCGATTCGATTACGATGCCCCGACGATGCAGTTTCGGGGGTGGACAGACCTGCCCTGATACGTCGATTCAGGAATTGGCCGTTTTCGGATCGCGAGAGGGCGTCGCGGCCGCTATTCTTGTGGGTCCAGTTCCGTCGGTTTCGGTCCCGAGCCGTTTTCACTGAGGGGAGGGTGACTAAAGGGAAGTTGAAGTTTGTCCTCCGCCGGCAGTCAAGTCGCATAATAAGGATGCGCATTTTTTCAAGGCTGCCCTCGCATCCTTGCCCTTTCGGCCCATGTTTGGCGACCTTCGCTTGACAACCCCGTTCGAAAATGCCAACAGGGCCCTCCGAGGACGTTGCACCCTTGCCGCGCATCTTTATTGTGCGATTTGACTGCATCGAGCTGGTAGAGACGGGCCCCAATGCAAACGGGGGGGCAGCCAGAGCGTGGGATCGTGCAGGATCCTGCAGAGCCAGGGTTGTATTGACCCGAGTCACCCGGCACGCTCCTGCAGGATCTTCCAGAATTAGATTGCCCCGGGCTTGCATTGATTCGGATCAGTAGAAGCCCGAAGATATCCGATGCGGCCCGCTACCTGCATGGCGCCGTTTCAGTTCGGGGGAGAAAAAGATACGTATACGTGTCGTCCCCCTTCGTTTTCGGTCTTTCCTGGTCCTCCTGGGGAATCCTCGTTGTCACCGCTGGATTCGCCTCGAAATTCTGGTCAGAACGCACCCCAAGAGAGGTCCGGGGACAACACGTATCCGTATCTTTCCGCCCCCCAATCAGTACATCCCCGGCCCACTCGACCCGATTGGATTCAGATTCCGTGCTTGCATGGCACCCTGCGGCAGCAGTCTCTTTCGCTGGACGATCACGGGGGCGACCCGCTGTATCATGGGATGATCGTTTGCGTCAGTATACGTACGCCCACTTCCCCAGCCGATTGGTATGAAGCATGTGTAGACAAAGACGTTCCTGAATGCGAGGACGTTTTCGTGCGATGTTCCCCCGGGCACCAGCGCTGATGCCCGAGATTTCACCGAGCCGCGCCCGACTCCGGGCCGAGCACTGACCCGACCGGACCTCTTGATTGCCGATGCAGCCCGATCCGGTGCACATTTCGATTCGAGCCGACTTGCCGATTCGAGGCCGACCGATCCCTCCCCCCCGCGAGGCTCCCTCGTCACCGACCGGGCGTCGCTGAAGGCCCCCGACAGCCCCGAGGGCTCCGTGGCCCTGTCGGGCCGCTCCGGCAGGTCGCCCCGCGAGGAGGCCTCGCTGGACCTGGGCGCGACGCCCGTGGCACTGCTGTGGTGGGCGGCGCAGGACTGGCGCGCGTGCGGCACTCTGGCGCTGCGGCCCTCTTCTGCTGCTCCAAGTTTTTCGATGCGCGGCCCCTGGAGGTCTGGACCGCCTCCTAGGGGCGCCCTGTCGTCCCGAGTCGTTCTTTGGCGGCCCCGAGACCCGGCGAGGGCTCCCGGAGGCCGAAGACAGCCAAACACCGCTCAGCCATGCGCAGAGGGGGGCAGAGGGGAGGGCGGGCTTCTTAGAAGCACCCCTGCTTCTCAGAAGGCGCCGGCCTTGTCGGTAGATGTAGGGCCGGTGCCCTCCAAGAAGCAGCCTCCTTCTAAGACGCCTTCCCCCCTCCCCCTACCCCCTTGTGCTCGCCGACAGCCCCCCCTCCACGGCACTCGAGGCCTCCCGGGCGGAGTCCGAGCAGACGGGGTCGGAGCGCCGCGCCGCATCGCCAGGGCATCGACGAGTGCGGCTCGATGCGGAGCCCGACAGTCCCCACGCCCGCGACGCCGACCCCACGCGCCAGCGGCGCCGACAGAGCGCCGATGTCGCAGACAGATCGGCGTCGCATCGGCGACACATCCTCCGCCTCCTCCCTCCTCCCTCCTCCCTCCTCCCTCCTCCCTCCTCCTCCTCCTCCTCCTCCTCCTCCTCCTCCTCCTCCTCCTCCTCCTCCTCCTCCTCACTGGAACTACGACACCGGCGACGCATGCGCAGGTCGCACGCCGATGCATCGGCGCTGCTGTAGTGCCGCGCTGCCATGGGCGCGTGCGGCGCCCCAGCGCCACCGCCCTTCACCCCGCCCTTCTGCTGGGAGGGGCACCGCTGCGCTTTTTTGAGGAGGACAAGGTTCCGACGCCGCTGCGCTTTGGGAAGGGAGGAGGGAGGAGGGAGACGAGGAAGCGAGGAGGAGGAGGAGGAGGAGGAGGAGGAGGGTTAGAACGCCACAATCGAAGGATTCAGGTTCGGTCAACGCAAAAAAGAGGAGGAGGTCGGAGGGAAACGTTCGACCAACTTTCTTGCCTTCAGGCATGCAGGCTCCTGGGCGTAGGAGGTCTAGGAGGAGGAGGAGGGGGAGGAGGAGGAGGAGGAGGCCCCCTGTTCGCCTTGGCGGCAGGGCTGCGCCGCCTCGGTACGGGCGGGGGACGCGTGCGCGGAGGCGTCTCGAGGCCCCCGCTGCCGACACCAGTGCCTCGTTCTCGTCTTTTGGGGGCCTCCTGCGTTGTTCCTTGTCGCCACGGCTCGACGAAGAGAACACTTTTTGATCCGCGGGTCGAGAGCGCACCTCTTCCGGTCGAAGCTAAGCGGGCCGCGCGAAGCTTGAATTAGGCAGAGAAAGGAGGGAGGAAGCGGCGGAGCCTCAGAGCGAGGCCGAGAGGAGGCATAGCCTCGGATACAGGCGGCGCCGAAGCCGAAGTACTTGCAAAGGGCCGCCTCATTCGACGAAGAAAACTGCAGAAATTATGTGTTTCGAGCGATCCCCACCGAAACCTTGGGCCCCTGTCCTCCTCCTCCTGCCCCATGCCTCCTTCCCCTCCTCCTTCCTCCCCCCTCCCATCCTCAGACTTAGGGGCGCAGGCGAGGAGGCCGCCCGCGGCGGGGCGGCGGCAGGGACTGCGGGAATCTCGGGACAACTTGGGGTCTGGCCTGGTTTTGGTTTGGTATGTGATGTTCCCTTGTGCTCTGGTTTGGTTTGTTCCGTGATGTTCTGTGGTTCTCTGTTATGTGATCGGGGGTGGACAGACCTGCTACCCTGACACGTCGATCAAGGAATTGGCCGTTTTCGGTTCGCGAGAGGGCGTCGCGGCCGTCATTTTTGCGGGTCCAGGTCCGTCGGTTTCGGTCCCAGGCCGTTTTCACTAAAGGGAGGTTTACTAAAGGGAGGTTTGTCCACCTCCGATGTGACGTTCTGTTTTGGTTTGTTATGTGATCTTCTGTTGTGCTCTGATATTTTATGCGATGCATTGTATTGTGATGTTATGTTATGTGATGTCGTGTTATGTGTACAATGTTGTGCTGCTCTGTCAGGAGGTGATATGTGATGTTCCGCGATGTATGCCATGGCATGTGTTGTAATGATATTGCTATGTTAATTTCCGTCTTGTTCTGTCATGATCGCGTTGTGTTATGTTAACGTGTATTGTGACATGTTGTGATATGTCGTGTTCGTCGCCATGCTCTGTTGGTGTGTCATGATCTGTTCTGAACGCTGTTTCATGATATGGCATGTTTCGTCAATGTGTGGGTTATGCTATGATATGTTATGATATGCTATTGTATGGTGTGCTCTGTCGTTGTCTGGTCTGTAATGCTCTGCCCGGATATGGTTTGTGATGTTTTAGTATGGTGTGTGTTGTCATGGCATTGCTATGGTATGTTGTGTCATGTTATGTTGTGTCATGGTGTGTTGTGTCGGGCTTGTCGAGGGCGCGACTCGGGGATTCTCGGGACAACTGGGGGTTTGGCCTGGTTTTGATTTGTTATGTGATGTTCCCTTGTGATGTGGTGTGGCTTGTTCCATGACGTTCTGTGGTTCTCTATTATGTGGCGTTCTGTGTTGGTGTGTTATGGTGTGTTCTGTTCTTTCATGCTATGCATTGTTTTGTTATGTTCTGTCATGCTCTGTTCTGCTCTTTCGTGTTCTGTCTACTATGTTGGTCTGTTCTGGCGTGATATGCTCTGGTACGTTCAGTGATGTTATGTCATGATCGGTTTGGTAATGGTACTGTCATGCTATGTCCTGTCATGTTATGTTATGGTTGTATTATGACATAGTATATTCTATTGTGGCACGTTATGCTCTGCCGTGTTCGTCGCTATGCTCTGTTGTCGTGTTATGATATGATCTGAACGCTGTGTCATGTTATGAACTGTCCCGTCAAGGTGCGCTATGTTATGATAAGGTATGTTATGTTAGTGTGTGATCTGCTGTTTTCTGTTATGTATTTTTATGCCCGGGTATCTTTTGTGATGCTATATTATGATATATATATATATATATATATATATGTGTTGTCATGGCATTGCTATGTTATGTGCTGTCATGTTATGTCGTGTACTGGTGTGCTGCTTCGTGTTCGTCGAGGGCGCGAGACGGGACTCCCAGGGACACTCGGGGACTCGGGGACACTCGGGAGGTCCGGCGCGGATCCAAGAAATCTGCACTGACCTCCAAACGTTTATGTTGTTGCAGTTGTTCTTCTATGGCCAGAACTCATCCTAGGAGAGATCGGGGGGAGTAGCGGTGTCGGTGCCTCTTTGGTACCCTCATTCCCTTCATGGTCGGGGATACGTAAAACTCGAGTAAGCCAGAACTCGGGCTTGGCGCTTCTTGACCAGCTCGTTCTGGATTTCGACGGTCCAGTTTTCGTGGGGTGTTTGCAGCGGGAGATCGCGCCAGGTCAACGTCATTGCTCGCGGGGCCTCGCCAGTTTTACGATGGCCCCGGCAGGTCAACGCGTGTCCCCCGTACCCGAGTCTCACGAGTCTCACGTCTCCCCGAGATGGGGCGCTGTTCGCGGGCGGTTCCCGCGCCCGTCCTGCCCGCGCGCCTCCCGCGTGAGCCCGCCCGCGCAGCACACGCTTGAGGCCACGGCCTCCACGGCATGCCCTGGTGATGAGTTGCAGCGCTGGCGCTTGTCGCCACGTGTTGCTGGATTCTCTGGTTGACTCTTGAGTGCAAGACTGCTGTCTTCTGGCATGCTTCGGCGTGCCAGGGCTCAGTGGTTGAGTACAAACCTGGTTGATCCTGCCAGTAGTCATATGCTTGTCTCAAAGATTAAGCCATGCATGTCTCAGTATAAGCTTCTACACGGCGAAACTGCGGTGGGCACGGGCGGGCTCCCCAGAGACGCATGCGCGAGTCCAGCGTTCGCGTCGCGTCGCTTCGCGTCGCTGCGCTTCCTCCTCATCCCACCTCCTTGCGTTGTGAAACAAGCGCGACGGAAGGTCTGGATCGAAGAAGACCATACGCCACACAAACTTCTGGCGCCCCGCGCGGACTCCTTGGATCTGCGCTGGGCCCCCTTGCGTCGCCTCCGGCGCCGGCCCTGGCGCGGTCCGCGCGCCAGGGAGGGGGGTCCAGCGCAGATCCCAGAAATCCGCGCGGAGTGCCAAAAGCTAATGTTGATGTCGTTTTGTTTTCTTCTGCTCTTGCCTTGTGAAAGGAGGGCGACGGAAGGGTTTGAGCAATCGTCGGCCCCGAGGGCGCCCCCGCCAGGCACGGGGACCGTCGGAAGACGGTTCGGGATGAGAAGCCAGCCCAGGGGAAGGATCCAGGACGTGGCGAGAAAATCGCGACGTCGGAATTTGCGTCCTCTTCCTGTTGTGCTCTTAAGTCGGGCCTGTCCCTCCACAGGGGGGATCTCCAAAAATAGTCAAAAGATATTCAGGGGACTATTTCTTGGCTATTTTCTTGACATCTTCTGATTTTTTTTGGTTTTTTATTAATGAAATTTGTTTCGTTTTAAATCCCCCTGTAGGGGGACAGGCCCGACTTAATGTTATTCTCTTCCGCCTCGTTCCCCTCCGCGCGGGGCCCGCCGGCCTGGGTGGCGCTTGTCGGGCGCCGCTGCGCCCGCCCCCTCTCCTCCCGCGCGTTGGCCCTGAAGTCTGGCGGGCTCGGCGAGCGCGCGAGCCGGTCGCAGCAAGCGCTGGGGCGCAGCGGCGCGGATCGCGCGCCGGGGAGCCCCGAAGGGCGGGGAGAGTCGACTGCACGCAAGAGTGACCCTTCGCTGGAGTGACCGTTGGTGCGGGCTCACTGGGGTCTCCCCGATCGCCGAGCGCGATGCGATACAGCCGGGGCCCTGAAGAAGGAACCCTTCTCGTTGGGGAGGGGTTCCGTGTTCCTGCATTGTTTTTTACAGCTTGCCTGAGGTTTTTTCTGTAGGTTTTCGATGGGAAATTTGAAGTTTAACTTATGGAAGAAGGGGCCTCGTTCCTTATTTAGGGTTCCTTAGGTCCACGCCTCGGCTGTGGTGGCTGCTTGACGCGCGTGGAGTCGGCCACCCCGCGCCCCCTTCGTCCGCGCCCTCGAGGGCCACTCTTACCCAGGGGTCACGCCTTCGTGCAGCCGAGGGAGAGGCGTCGGCGGAGGGGCTCCTCCTCCTCCTCCTCCTCCTCCTCCTCCTCCTCCTCCTCCTCCTCCTCCGCCTCCGCCTCCGCCTCCGCCTCCGCCTCCGCCTCCGCCTCCGCCTCCGCCGTCGGAGCATGTAGCCCCTGAGACATAGGGAGGACGCACGTGCACACCTCACGCCTGACCGGGGCCGTCCCCTGCGTGGCGGAAGCATACGGCGTTGCGGAGTTCCACGACTGGAGTTCGGCCCCGGACCCCATCGTTCTGAGGCAGCTGTGCTGGATCGATCTGTGATGGTACCTGGGTGCCCGAAACTGTGCGGCAGCGTCTGGTGTGAAAAAAATGCACCGCACCGCCTGGATCTCAGGGTCCTGGGCTCCAGGATGGCGTGTCAACCCTCCTGGCCTCGGCCAGGAAGGTGGGTGCGCACCATGCCACGCAGTACTCTGCCGGAGCCTGGACCGCAGCACGCCCGCTGAAGACCTGCGTGGTTTGAGGGGGGCGCCTTCCTTTCCTCTGCGTCCGCGGCCGCCGTTCGCCTTGTCCTCGACTCTCTGTGCGCCATTCGGTTTCGCGGCAGCCCTGCTTTGCCCGACGGGCTCGCGCGACAGTTGGCCGCTGCGGTCGGTTCGATGCGTGGGCCCCAGAGGTCTGGACCACTTGCCCAGGGATGGCTCTTGGTTCCAGCGAGGGGCCGGAAACAGCCGAAAGCCGCCCGCGCTACACTTTTGGGGGGCGTTGGATACCTGGGTACACTGGGCTGACACGTGTCTTGGGGATCGTTGGATCTCGACGCGCGGCGCGTGGGCAAGAGGATCCCACTCGTACCTGCGGCGCTCGCGCGGCATGCTGGTGTTGATCTTGCTCCTTCTCGCGACCATGTGGCGCCTGCCCATGAGCTGGAAGCCGATGCTCCTGATGGCTAGGTTTAAGTCGAGCCTGTCCCTCTACAGGGGGAATATTCAAACATAGTCAAAGAATAGTCTGGGGATTATTGCTTGATTTGTTTAAGAGCCTTTTGAGTATTTTCTCGTCGTCCAAAATCCCCCTGTAGGGGGACACGCCCGACCTAAGCTAGGTCCCATGCGATCGCCAGGTGTTCGGGGTAGGCCGCTGCCGCAACCAGACGTAATTAGCCAGTCTCCGCCACCCAACACAAGGCGGCAGAGGCCATCGGGAAGTCGCCCATGACCACCCAGTCCAGGCCCACGATGTTGACAGCCTTGAGCAGCTTGAGCACCTTCCACAGCGCGCCGAGGTTCTCTTCCCAGAGACCCTCGCCCGTGCGCAAGTCCGCGGCGACTGCGCTGAGGCCACCTCTCGTGGCGGCATGCGCGCGGCACGCAACTGCTCGGCTGGGCTCCAGCACGGGCCCATCCGAGCCTGGGGGCGCCGCCAGCTGCACATGGCCAGCGCCAGGCGCCAGGACAGCCACTCCGCCCTGGCTCTCGTTTGCCCGCGCCAGAAGGCACTGCCGCATTCCAGACCCCGCGCGCCCGCCGAATTCGAGCGCCGAGGCCCGAGCCGTGCCACGCCTGCCCGTCACCGCGCGGTGCCCCTGGACTGCTACGATCGGTTGAGGGTCGCGTTTGACAAGGTAATTCCTTTCTCCTCCTCCTCCTCCTCCCCCTCCTCCTCCTCCTCCTCCTCCTCCTCCTCCCTCCTCCTCCTCCTCCTCCTCCTCCTCCTCCTGCTCCTCCGCATGAATCAACGGCCCCCCGAGCTGGCGTTGTCGGTGGCGAGGGTCGCGCCAGAGTACGTCATCACGGCGTTGGCGGTCCCGAAGTTTCTTTTCCCAGAACCAGTGCCACACTGAGCAGGAGGGTGCGTACGCTCTTTCTTGGCGCGCAAGTCGTCAATGATCTCCGAGCACTTCTCGGCGGCCTTTTTGACGGCGTTGTGGTTTTGGGTGTCTATATCGGGGGGGCCATGCGCCGCAGGTAGTCCAGCGGCGCGGCCACGTCGTTCATGTGGATGTCATCCGTTGCATGACCTTGCCCAACAGCTTCAGCTTCTCCTGCGCCGCGGATTCGCTATGCTGCATCGGCCGAGTCCTGGGCGGCCTTGGCAGCAGCCTTCTTGTTGGCCTCGGCGACGGCCTCGGCTTCGACTTGTTCCCCGCGCTGCTGCAGTCCAGCCACCGCCGCAGCAGCGAGGTTCCGAAGTGCCTGTCCAGCCTTGAAACTGGACAGCAGGGAGTCCAACATGCGCGCGGACTCGGTCACCATGCGCTGCGACATCTGCCCCGCTGATTGCACCCCAACCACGGGCGTCTGCGGGGCGGATGCATGGATTGCGCGGCGTTGTTCCTGGAGCTCGAGCATCTCCGTCTTGAGCTTGCCGTCCTGTTCCTCAAGGTTTTCGGCTGCTGCAGTGGCCGCCCTGGCTTGCTCGCGCTTCTCCTCCGCCTGCTTGCTCTTGTCGATGCCAGCTCGCGCCCGCTCGATGCCGTCGGCGACGCATTGAAGGCGCGCGGCGCATCTCCGTCTGCAGTTGGTCACGTTTTGCACGGTCCGCCTCAAGCTGGCTCTGGAGATATTTGAGGCTTTCAGGGCTGGCGGCACTGAGCTTCTCAAGGGACCTGATACGTTCATCGGCCTGCCCCAGCTTTCTTCTTGCGTTCCGTGGCGGAGGTGCCGGTGCCTTCGGCGGTGCACTCCATGACGTCGCCCTCTGCTGCTGCCAGGCTGGATCTTGGCCAGCTCCCAAGGTGCGGCGCTAGCAGCCCCCTCGCCGCCTGCGCCACGCGCAGTTCTGCCTTCTCCGCCTGCCCCCGTCGACATTGGCCTCGGCGCACGCTTGGACGGCGCCTCGGGGCCCACTTTCCGCGGAAGGTGACGGCCTTGGGCAGGTGGCACTTGGCGCAGCTGGTCTTGTCCCTGTAGTCGACCCATCCAGGGTAGCGCTTGTAGTGCCAGGCAACAGCGCGCTCACTCCGGGAACTTGTCGCACTCGCACCACGACGCGATCGTGTGGCCTTCTCTCCTTTGCCTGCACCCTTGGGCGGCGCCGCCACTGTTCGGACAGCAGGACTCCGTCGATGAGCCTCGCACATTCTTGCAGCCTACTTGAGACAGACAGCCGCCACGCAGGCCAGAAGAATCCACTCGTCTAGCCGCGGACCAGCGGTATCCAGTCGGTCTACCTGAGAACCGTGCATATTGAGCCACATTGGACAAGATTGTGTGTGCGTGTTGTGGTGCTTTCTGGTGCATTAGAAGGGCCAGGTGTCTTTGCCGCACAGCCGCCGTGCGCAGTGCGTGCGTGTGTGCGTGTGTGCGTGTGTGCGTGTGGGAGCGTCCGTGCGTGCGTCCATGCTTGTGTGCGTGCGTGTGTGCGTTTGCGTGTGCGTGTGCATGTGCGTGTGCCTGTGTGTGCGTGGGTGCGTCTGTGTGTGTGCGTGCATGTGTGTGTGTGCTTGAGTGCGCGCGCGTGCGTGCAAGCGTTTGTGCGTGTGTGACTTGTGTGTGTGTGTGGTCGCATGCGTGCGTACGTACGTACGTACGTGCGTGTGTGTGTGTGTGTTAGTGTGTATGTGTGTGCCTGTGCGTGTTCGCGTTCGTGTTGTGGATGTGTGTGTGCATGGTTGCGTGTGCGCGTGTGCGCGTGCGTTTGCGTGCTCGCGCTTGCGTGTGTGTGTGTGTAAGTGTGTGTGTGTGTGTTTGTGTGCGTGTGTGTGAGTGCGTGTGCGTGTGTCTGTGTGTGCGTGTGTCTGTGTCTGTGCCTGTGTGTGTGTGTTTGTGTGTGTGTGTTTGCGCGCGTGTGCGTGTGCGTATGTGTGTGCGATGTGCGTGCGCGTCTGCGTGTGCGCGTGCGTGTGTGCATGCGTGCGCGCATATCGCCGCTTGAACACGATGTTTTACGCCCTGTCGCCGCGCGCGGGTCCGCGATGCCAAACAATGTAGGTGTGTGCGTCTGCGTGCGCCCGTGCGTGAGTGTACGTGTGTGTGTGTGTGTGCGTGTGTGTGTGTGTGTGCGTGCATGTGTGTAAATGTGTGTGTGTGTGTGTGTGTCTGGTGGGGCCTCTCCCCCGTGTCCGTCGTTTTCTCGCCGTCCGTCGCCTCTCGTTCACACCGGCCTCCCGCGCCACGCCCTGGTGGCCTGTAGCGCGGTGGTTCCCGCTTCTGCGGGCCAAGCGCGCGCGCGCGTGGGGCCTGCGCGTAGTGGTGATCGATGTTCTCGGCTTCGTCGTTGTGCGCGACGCCACGACCGCCACAAAGTGCGTGTGTGCGTGCGTGTGGTTGCACGTGCTCCTTTCAGCCCCACCGACAAACACCATGCCGTGCGGGCCCGCATTGCACCACCTGCGTGGTGCTGGAGGATGTTGGAGGGCGTCGGTGGACAAGCAGACGTTGGCGCCTACACGCGTTCCACGGCCCACCGGAAAAAAGCGTCTTGCGCAGGACCGCGACAACGTGCCTGAGGGCAGGATGGTCGCAGCCTTCCCGAACTTCGCGGCCGCCGCCGCCGCCACGGACTGCGACGGGCGCAGCGTCCTGGCGCTCGCGGTGGTCCACCGGCAGTCCCACCTGGTGCCCCTGCTGCTGGCGAGGCAGGCGCAAGTGGACGCGGCGGCCGGGCCTTTCGGAATCCCCAGGGGTCAACCGGCAGGCAGCCCGGACCCCCTCGATCCATCCGTATCAGGAGGGAAAAAAACACACAGACACAATTAATCGTCGATTCCCCAGAAAATCTATGATTATCCCGGCAAAGCAACCTAACAGCGATGTGTAGGAGCATATATGGAAGCATTCCCCTTAAGATTCAGATGAGAATCCAGTTGTAGAGTTCTGCTGTTCTCGCAGTCGTAGTCGCATTCGCGATGACAGTCGCAGTGGCAACGGCAGTCGCAGTCACAGCCTCAGCCTCAGCCTGCCTCAGCCTCAGCCTCAGCCTGCCTCAGCCTCAGCCTGCCTCAGCCTCAGCCTCAGCCTGCTTCAGCCTCAGCCTCAGCCTGCCTTCAGCCTCGCCTCAGCCTCAGCCTGCCTCAGCCTCAGCCTGCATCAGCCTCAGCCTCAGCCTCAGCCTGCCTCAGCATCAGCCTGCCTCAGCCTCAGCCTCAGCCTGCCTCAGCCTCAGCCTCAGCCTGCTTCAGCCTCAGCCTCAGTCTGCCTTCAGCCTCGGCCTCAGCCTCAGCCTGCCTCAGCCAGCCTCAGCCTCAGCCTGCCTCAGCCTCAGCCTCAGCCTCAGCCTGCCAGCCTCAGCCTCAGTCTGCCTTCAGCCTCAGCCTCAGCCTCAGCCTCAGCCTGCCAGCCTCCTCAGCCTCAGCCTGCCTCAGCCTCAGCCTGCCTCAGCCTCAGCCTCAGCCTGCTTCAGCCTCAGCCTCAGTCTGCCTTCAGCCTCGGCCTCAGCCTCAGCCTGCCTCAGCCTCAGCCTGCATCAGCCTCAGCCTCAGCCTCAGCCTGCCTCAGCAGCCTCAGCCTCAGCCTGCAGCCTCAGCCTGCAGCCTCAGCCTCAGCCCTCAGCCTCGGCCTCAGCCTCAGCCTGCCTCAGCCTCAGCCTGCATCAGCCTCAGCCTCAGCCTCAGCCTGCCTCAGCATCAGCCTGCCTCAGCCTCAGCCTCAGCCTTCCTCAGCCTCAGCCTCAGCCTGCTTCAGCCTCAGCCTCAGTCTGCCTTCAGCCTCGGCCTCAGCCTCAGCCTGCCTCAGCCTCAGCCTGCATCAGCCTCAGCCTCAGCCTCAGCCTGCCTCAGCATCAGCCTGCCTCAGCCTCAGCCTCAGCCTGCCTCAGCCTCAGCCTCAGCCTGCTTCAGCCTCAGCCTCAGTCTGCCTTCAGCCTCGGCCTCAGCCTCAGCCTGCCTCAGCCTCAGCCTGCATCAGCCTCAGCCTCAGCCTCAGCCTGCCTCAGCCTCAGCCTGCCTCAGCCTCAGCCTCAGCCTGCAGCCTCAGCCTCAGCCTTCAGCCTCGGCCTCAGCCTCAGCCTCAGCCTGCATCAGCCTCAGCCTCAGCCTCAGCCTGCCAGCCTCAGCCTCAGTCTGCCTTCAGCCTCGGCCTCAGCCTCAGCCTGCCTCAGCCTCAGCCTGCATCAGCCTGCCTCAGCCTCAGCCTGCCTCAGCATCAGCCTGCCTCAGCCTCAGCCTCAGCCTGCCTCTGACTCTCAGCCTCAGCCTGCCTCAGCCTCAGCCTCAGTCTGCCTTCAGCCTCGGCCTCAGCCTGCCTCAGCCTCAGCCTCCCTCAGCCTCAGCCTCAGCCTGCCTCAGCATTCAAAGTGTGGCCCGGGAATTGAGTTCTGGGAACTCGAAGAACACGAAGCGGCCTACAGTTGGCTCCTGGCATTCAAAACCATGCCCAGGAATGGAGTTCTGGGAACTCGAAGTCCGCGAAGTGGCCTACAGTTGGCTCCGGGCATTCAAAATGTGGCCCGGGAATGGAGTTCTGGGAACTCGAAGAGCACGAAGTGGCCTACAGTTGGCTCCGGGCATTCAAAATCATGCCCAGGAGTGGAGTTCTGGGAACTCGAAGACCACGAAGTGGCCTACATGTAGGCCACTTCGCGGGCATTCAGAATGTGGCCCGGGCATTCAGAATGTGGCCCGGGAATGGAGTTCTGGGAACTCGAAGGCCAGTAACTGTTTGCTTAAAACGACTTCCGCGGATTCTCCCCGGATCCTGCCCGGACCCCCCTGGGGAGTCATGATGCTTTCTTTTGAGACCATTAGAAACCTAACAGTCTTCGCTGTTAGGTAAAAATATGGGAAGTGGGGGGAAGACAAAAACCTAGAAAATATTGGAACATATATGGGAATCTGTTTATTTGTGTGTATTTATTTGTGTGTCCTGGGGCCCCTTCACAGTAATCACGTCGGGAGGTCTTCCGCTGGTTCCGGCCACTGGGGGTTTGTATTGGTCCATGGGACCGTCAAACACCGCTCGGGATGGAAACATTGGTCCCGGACTGGGTCGAGCCCTCTGGGGGTCGACGTCACGAAAAGAAGCCAGAGTGTCGGGGGTCTGGGGATGGGGGCTAATGCGAACGCGGTTCAGCCAGAGCGCAGGATCCAGCACGATCCTGCGAAGACGGACGTTGGCCGAGCCAGGTTTGGGAGACGCTCGCGGCCCTGGAGTTGGCCGTACAGGTTGGCACAGCCAGATTTGGGAAGCCCCCCGAAAATTGCACCGCAGCTTCGAACGGGTTTCGGCTGGCGTCGCCACTGGTGGTGTGCAGACCCTCGTGGCCTCGGTGAGGAAGGCGTGCGCAACATGCCAGGGCCCAGGATGACCCTGGCAAGGTATGAGCGGTGGTGTTTAGGACGCTTTTGCGTGCAGAAGATGGGGGCCGAGGGGTCCGTTCCGTCTTTCGCCCCACAGTTTCCCTCTTCCCGCCTCGTCCCTCCTCTTTCCCCTTCCCCGCTTCCTCCCCCCCCTGGCCCTTTCCCCCCTTCCCTTCCCTCTCCTCCCCTCCCACTTCCCCCCCTCGCCTCTCCCCGTCCCTCCCCCATCGCCCCGCCTCGCCACCCTTTCCGTCTTTACACCCGATCGTGGACAGAGAAGCACGGCAGCGCAACAGGAAGGGATGGGCATGGAGGAGCTCGATGCCAGAGCTGGCGCGAGCGCACCTGACTTGTCACCGCCCACTCGCCTCTCTCCCCCGTCGCCCCTCGCCATCCCCCGTGTCATGTGCCTCCTCGCCCTCGGCTCGCCCCCGAGTGCCTCCCGCGACGGGAGGAACGGACGGAGGCCCGAGGGGAGTCCCGTCGGGCCCTCCATCCGTTCCTCCCCACCTGCCCGCCTGCCTCCCAGCCATGGCTCCTCGCAGGTCATGGGTCGCGGGAAGGAGGGGGAGCGAGGGAGCCCGGAGGTGAAGACGGGGGCTGGGGAGGGAGAGGGGGGCGAGGCGAGGCGAGGCGAGGCGAGGCGGGGCGCGCCTGAGTCCGCCGGGGAGGCGTGGCCGGGGCCCTCAGCTGCAGATGCGGAACTTGTGGTCAGTGTTGGGTGTGTGTGGCGATAGAACGCTTGTTCCAAATTGCTCCATTGAGAGTTGTCCTGTGCTGGTGTAAGTCATCGTTCGCTTCAAACATGTTAGAGGGAGAAGGGGGAGAGAGAGAGAGATAGAGGGGGGAGAGGTGCCGAATTGTGATGATGATGGGGGAAGGGGTGATGATGAGGATGAGGATGGCGGGGATACGATGATGAGGATGACGAGGATGTGGATGAGGATGAGGACCAGTGCAACCCCCAGACTCACCAACCATGCCGCAACAAACTCTTCCACCAAGTGTCCTACAAAGGTTCACTCTCACTTAGGGAAGTGCCTCGTTGGAAGAGAGCCGTGTGAACATCCTGAAGTGTGCCCGAACACCATTCGTAAGACTTCAACGCCGCGTATCAACGTGACCGTTGCGTTGGACGATCCTGAATCGCGCCAGGATGCCATTTTTTTGGACTTCGCCATTGCTAATCAACGAAACTGCTGCACCTGATAGTCCTATGTCGTGCAAAAACACCGCTTCCCGTACGTAAGCCCTAGGAACCCTTGACACTGGTGTAGACTAAAGACGGACGCGCGCGGCGCTAAGGTCAGAACCGCATTTTTTAACGGCACAGCCTTCCACCCGCAAATATCTTGCACATTTCTTTACCAAATTGAGCTGAACCAGTGCGAAAGCCGCATTTCGCGAAGGCGCCGCCCTCCATCCGTGAAGCCATTGCGGAATCCGAAAACGAATGTTCGCGGCGCTATGGCGAGAACCACGTTTTGAACACGACCCGCCCTCCATCCGCGAAACTCTTTCAAACTTTTAAGACGAATGTGCGCGGCGCTGAAGCGAAACGCACATTTTGAAAACCAGCCGCCCTCAATTCGAGAAGCTTTTCAAGCTTTCAGTTCAAGGGTCAAACATGGTGAGAAAAGTTCCTGCGAACTGCCTGACTCTCCCTCCCGACACGCATCGGGGCACGACAGGGAGGAGCCACTCGTAGGGACACGGAACCGAGGAGGAGCAGGATGATGAGGATGAGGACGACGACGGAGATGGACGAGGAGAACGAGGAGGAGGAAGAGGAATGCGCGGGGCGGAGGAGGAGGAGGAGGAAGAGGAGGAGGAGGAGGAGGAGGAGGAAGAGGAATGCCCGGGGAGGAGGAGGAAGAGGAATGCGCGAGGAGGAGGAGGAAGAGGAGGAGGAGGAGCGGCGAAGGGTGCCCACAGAGAGGTGGACGCGGACCAGCGCACGGCGCTGATGCTCGCGGCGCAGGCGGGGGACCCGCTGGCGGTGCAGCACCTGCTGGCCGCGGGCGCGTCCGCCACGCTCCGCAGCGGGGACGGCCGCACCGCGGCCGAGCTGGCCTGCGACAGGCCTCGCGGGACGGAGGGGGCACTCTTCGCGCACGCCCGACGGATTTGCAGCTTTGCACGCGGGCAGGTCCCCTCAGTCTCAGCCCCCTCAGCCACCTACCTGAGGTCTCGGCCGCGCTTGGCCGACGCCTCGCGCGCTGCTCTGCTTGTTTTTCCCGCGTTTCCTCTGCCTAATTAGTCTTTGCGTTTGGACCTGACTCGCCGCCGGCGCGCTCGCCCGCGGCCGCTGACCCAAAAAGTACGCCCGACGCTCCCGTGCCCCACCCCGGAGGATGAGGACGAGGAGGCACCAAAACCACTAAGCTGTACCGCTCCGTTGCTCTCGCCCTTCCGGTCCGTTGGGAGGCCCTCGTCGCCACGGCCGAGTGAGCCTCGCAGTTCTGGTCAGAACGCGCCCCGCGAGAGCTCGGGGAGTAGCGGTACCGGTGCCTTTCGGTTTGCTTAAGAAGCGAAATTGAGGAGGTAGGGGAGGTGGCGATAATCGAGTCTTCGTGAGGCTTCACGCGAGGCGTTTGCACATTATTGTTTGCATCTCGTGGTTGACCTGTGCATTTGCTTGCATACGCAGCTGTTTGTGGTCAACTTGTGAAGTGATAGAAGGTAACATCCTATTCTCATAGTGGCGCAGCGCTGCGGAAGCTCTGGCGCCAGTGGCGGCAGGCTACGTCACGAGCCTCATGCGCGGCCTGAGCCCGAGGACGATTGGATCCTGACTAACAAGCTCCCGCTATGGGGACGCGGGGGCGTTCGGTGCACGGCGTGTTGCCCCTGTCGGAACCATGTCGGTTGTGGCACAACACGGACAGTATTTGTAGGAACTGAAGCGAAGGAGCGTTTAATATTGAGACATCAGACGTCGGAGGGACTTTCTGGCGTGTGGCACAATGGCGTCAGAGCAAAAGGCTGGCTGCAGCAGTTGGAGGCGGCGCTGCAGCAGGCGGCGGTGCAACAGCGGCTGCGGTAGAATCGGCGGCGGCAGCAATTGCGGCTGCCGAAAAGGCCCATGAGACCGCGGAAAAGCCGCGTGGCAAAGGTGACAAAGGTGGCAGACCAGGAGGGGCGCGGCCAATGCTGGCAATGATTTCGGATTGGACACGAGGATGTTCGGTTTCCCGGAGTTGTTCGACGGAGCTGAAGCGAAATGGGCAGATTGGAATTGGGCATCTCAAGCGTATGCGGGTCAATGCAGCAGCGTCCTGGCGGGCCTGATCTCTATCGCCGAATGCCAGGAGGATGGTGTCATTAATGATTGTTTGGGAACCGAAGTTGCAAGGGCATCTGTATCACCATACTACATGTTGGTGTTGGTGACAGGGACCAAACCGTTTAACATCGTTGTGAAAAGCGGCGTTTGGATTGGCCTCGTGGCCTGGCGAGCGTTCAGCCAGAGATGCAACAGCGTTGCGGCTACAAGATTTGCTGGGCAACTGCTGCACCTCATTAGCAGGCGGAGTCATTCGAGCGTGAGGTTAAGCGGTATGAGCAGTTCACAATGGGAATGGTCTTGAATGGCTTTGATAACGGCCCCGTGAAATACCACCTATGACTGAACTCGGCAAAATATGAGACCTGGCTACGCTCAAGAGCGAGATCGCGCAGTACCGGAGGGCGACCTCTGGAGGCAGGCGCACGCGGCCAAGCCCCGATGGACATTGGAACGCGTGGTGGTGACAGCGGTGGTGCGAAAGATCATGTTCGCCACGTCTGTAGAGGCCGCGGGCACCGCAAGCGCGACTGCAAGAAACCTGGAGGTGGAACTCACCGGCCACGACCGTTCCATCCACGAGGGGAGTCGCCCAGAGGCCCTGGAGGCGTAAAGGGCGTCAGGCAGAAGCATGGAAATGGCGATGGGGTTGGGCCAACGAAGCGCTACAACTGCGGCGGCAAGCGTCGCGACCAGGCCCCAAGGGCCGCGGCGAACAATGAGGCCATGGCCACGAGGAGCCAGAGCAGGAGAACATCGGAGGTTTGTCCATGCACGGGCTGCCCCAAACCGCTGGGAATGCAGAGGAAAGAGGGAACGACCGCATGCTCGAGTTCGGAGTTAATTCTAGTGCGGCGGCGCGTCGCCCCTGCCAGAGGGTTCCCCCCGACGGCGCCGCTGCGAATTGGGGCGTCTGCTACGCCGCAACGGAGATGAGAAGGTTGCGAGCGGCCGGGCCCGCAGCCAATGGCCCCTGCTCGTGGCGCGGTTTCGGGCAACCGAGGTCCATCGAACGATGGCGTCCCTGAGCGAGATGGTCGGCTGGAATAGATGGACCATGGAGCGACATCGACAGTCAGGACGGCCACGACGCCAGCATAATCATCGTGAAGGATTTCGGAGACGTGATCCCAATCGGTGGGCGGAGGGCGGGGCAGGTGCACGTGCAGCCCCTGCACTTGCGAGGCTGCTCGGTTCGCCCAGGGCTGGTCGATCCGTCGCCTGGAAGATCTAGAGGAGGAGGGGGCCTCTGCTTTCCGTGGAGCGAGGAGGCAAGCGCGGCGGGCCCAGGACGGGCCAGCTGCATGAGTGGACGAGGCGATCCCGGAAGAGCTTGGGCAGCAGGCGGGCTTTGCGACAGCGGGCCCACCACCGAGGATGCCCGCCTTAGCTCTCGCCCCCTCCCCTCCTCCGCACCATCGTTACAAGCCGCGTCGTCATCGTCGTCATCGTTGTTGCCGTCGCCATCGCCATCGTCGGCAGCATTGTCGCCGTCGCCGTCGTCGCCATTGCCAACGTTTGGCTGGGCTCAAGCACCTCGTCGCCGCGCTCGTCGCAGTCGCGGCCGTCGCAACCGTCAAGACCCTCACCATCATCAACAACGCATTCGGGGTGGGCTCGAGCGTGGCCTTGCATGCTCGCGCTGCCACGCCTGATTCCATCGCCTCGCCGCGCCTGCGGCCAGGTGCGATGGCGCCCGCCTCCGCCGCGTGTTGCCGCGCGCGCGCGGCGCGCGGTGATCCGCCACGTGCGGCGGAAGACTGGGTCTGCCGGCGCCGCCATTGGCGCCGTCCGCCACGGTGGATTGCGCCGGCGCGGACATCGCTCGGGCCGCGCGCGGTCGGGGCGCCGACGCTGGCGGCGGCCGATGGCCAGCCCAGCAGAGCGGCGCGCTTTGCGCCGCCAGGCATGGCCGTCGGCGTCGAGAGCCGCGGGCGCGGCGGGCGCGCGCGCGCGCGGGCCTGCGCCGGGGCGCTGCTGGGCCGCTGACGCGTCCAAGTTCGCTGTTGCGCGCTTCCGCGGAGACGCCGCGTCGGGTTCTGAGCGCGCGTCTCTGCGCGCGGCCGGCCGCGCCATGGGCTCCGACGCCGCTGCAACCATGTTTCTTCTCGGCGCGTTCTGGGGCACCGGGTCTGGCGCGGTCCGTCAGGCGCCCGTCGCGCGATTCAGATTGGCGGCGGGGGCTCTCGGCGCCTCCGGCGCGGCCGTCGCGGCGAGCGTCGCGCTGTCTTGGTGCGTCGTCTTCCGCGGCATGTTCTGGGCGCCGGTTGCGCGCGTTGCGGGGTCGCTCGTCGCGCGCGTCGCGTGGGCGGTTGCGGCGTTGTTTTTCTTGTGCATCTTCCCATCGCACAATGTTGTCGCTATGCCGTTCCCCGTCAAACCGCGCCGTGGTCGGTTCTTTCAGCTCGGGGCTGCGCGCCTTCGGCGCGGTCGCCAGGGCGCCCGCCGCGGTGCGTCGGCACATCGACGTCGTCGCAGACGACTTGCCCCGCGTCGTCGGAGGCGCGTTCGCCGCGGCGCTCAGAAGGTAGACATCCGAGGCGTTCGCCGGCCGCGCGGTGCGCCCCCATCGGCATTGTCGCGCGCGGAGCCTTCGGGGCGTCGGAGTTTTTCGCCAGCTGGGGCGTCGTGGCGGGCATGCGCATCATCGGCCTGGCCGCCCGCGGGCCCCCGCGCGCGCGCTCCCCGACGCTGACGTCGAACTTCTAGATGCGCGGCGGCAGCGCGAGCCGCGCGTTTCTGCCGCGTTGCGATGTGCCCCCCCCCCCCCCCGCGGCGAGGGGCCGCGCGGGAAAAGGAGCGCCCGCTGTCTCATCGAGCACCGAAGAGCGGGCCTACTCACAGGGGGGCAGGGGAACGCTGAGCAGCTAGAGCAGGCGCGCAGGCAACCGCGGAGAAGGGGGCGCCCCCTGCCCCGGGGTCGGGCGAAGAGAGCCATGCGCATGCACCGATCCTGACAACGCCCATCCTTGACCCAGGATCGGTGCATATACCTTCCTGGCCAAGGTAAGAGGGCGCATGCACCGATCCAGGGGCCAGGGCTGGGCCCGGCCAGAATTTGTACACGTGCATAGTTTTCTTTCCTTTAGCGTGAGCAGATGCGGGCCTGCGGCTGCCATGGGGGAGGGGGTCTTTCCTGCGTTCGTCTGCGCGCCGTTGCAGCGCCCCCCTAGCGGGCGGGCGACAGTTCGCGACGGCTTCAGTTCTGGCGCGCCGGCGCGAAGATTCGCTTTCGCCGCGCGGCCTGCCGTGGCCCGCCGCCGCGGGGCGCCGAGACTTTACCCCGCCCATGCCGCCGCCGCCTTGAAGCGCTTCCTCGCCTGAGCTGGCCGCGATCGCCTCGGCGCGGGCATCGGGCCCAGGCGCCCCGTCGTCTCCGGGCCCCGCAAGCCCGCGCGAGGGGCGGCGCGGACCCGCTGGGCCGCCAGAGTGCCTGAGCTCACTGGCCATCAAACTGCAACTCGCAGTCTGTCCCGGCCAGCGCCGCCTTCGTCGCCGCCGCTGACGTCGGCGTCTCCATTCTCATCGCCACCATCAATGTCGCCATATTACCGCCATCATCAGTAGCACCGCCACCCCCCCTTTCTCAAGGGAGGACAACCACCCGGGCCAGACAGGCGGCGTTTACTACAGGGCCCTGGGCGTTCACTCAACAGCCCCGCCCTGTTTGATTTATTCATTGGGTGCGTTTGCTAGACGGGGATTTGATCGTCGGGGTGGGTTTTTGTGCGTTCTATTTTTCTCATGGGCGCCATCGCCGCGCGCCTCATGAGCCGCGTCGTCGTCGTTTCCGCCC